CGACACTCCCTGGAGGCCTCGTGGGAGATCTTCAACTTCATGTTCAGGCGCAAAGCCTACCTGTACGAGTTTTTCCTCACTCCGCGCGCGTATGATGTGGTTGTTTTTTCTTATAGGTGTGCGTGTTCCATGTTCATGCTCGGGTCGCAGGTACTATGACCGCGGGTGCGACGAGATGGAGTACGCCGAAGCCAGCTCAAATGTGCGTGACTTGGTGGACGAATACCACGAGGTGGCCGAGTACGACAGTAGAAGCTGAACGCAAAGGTCATAGCTGACGTGTCAGCATTTCTTTTTGTTTTTTTATCCTTTAGGTATTACACCATTTGGGCGATGTCGCGGGTGCAGTCGATGGAGCTGATGGCCGGGAAGGTGGGCAGTGGCCGTGCCCTTGCACAGCTGGCACGTGTGCCCGCCCTTGCCCTTGCGCTTGGTGCACTTGGGCGTGATGGGCTTGCGGTTGCAGTGCCAGTAGTCGTCGCAGTCGATCCAGCCCGTGCCCTTGCAGTGGGAATGCTTCTCGACCTTCTCCTTCTCGTACTTCTTCAGATCGCGCTCGTACCTTTGTAGCTTGTCGGCTTGCTTCTTAGCGGCCCTGGATGCGGCTGACTTCCTCACGCTCCCTGGCGGCAGCGAGCTCGGGGCACAAAACCCACCGGACCGCAGCCTCACTTGGCACCGAAGTCGAGTCGTATGTTCACCACCAGCGTCGTCCCCGTGGCCTCGGCCTGGCCAACGCATACGCATCACAGTAGTCTGATGTCCCAATCGATCTTGATCGCGATCGGCTTGCCCAGGGCAGCCGCGACCTTCTTCTCGGCATTGGCTGTCTTCTTGTTCACCTCCGCCACCACCACGGCCTGAAGAGAGAAGAGCGAGGGGACCGTCCGTGAATTGGGGGGTTTGGCGGCAGGCGGGCCTCGATTGCGAGCTTGAGGTTGAGCGCACGCACAGAGGGCAAAATTTGGAATTCGGCAGAGTTGGTGGTCATGGCCAGTGGAAAGCCGAGTGTTGCCGTGCCGAGACGCCAACCCGCGTCGCCTGTGGTCCAAAACGAGTTGCACCGACTGACGCACACGACACACGACCGCACATGGCACCATAACACACGACCGCGCATGGAATCGGTGAAAAGGTGACACGACACGCATGGCGTAAGGCGCTGTACCTGGGCGTGCTGGTTGACGGAAGACTTGGCGCTGTCGAACTCGGTGAGGTTGCAAGGCCCTGGTCGCCCAGCAGGGGTTGTTGGGCCAGCGGGCCGGCCAGGGCGGCAGCGCGCGCGAGCTTGGCCTCGGCGTCGAGAGCCGCCCATTCGCGCGTCCGAAGCTTCCCACCCGACCTGCACTGCGTAGACGGCGCTGGCCACGGCGGACTTGCCCATGGGCTGCGCCACCACGCCGCCCAGCCCCTCCGGGCTAACCAAGGCGCGTTCGCGTGGCGCAGAGCGCGGTGATGATGTCGGCCTGCTGGGCCGCCGCCGGAAGACGTCGAGAGAGGTGAAGCCCAGGTCGGATCGCCGAAAGCAACGCGCAGGCGCAGCACGACGCCGCGCAGTCGGCCGTCAGCGCGGTCGTAGGCCGGCCGGTCAAGGTCGAGGCTAGGTTTGAGGCGCGTCGGCGTGCGTCCAATCAATGGTCATCGAGACGCGCTTGCCCATAAGGCTCGCAGCCTCGTCTTCCACCTGTTAACCAAGGCCGTGAGTTAGCACGCACGCACGCACACACACACACACACACACACAAACACACACACGCACGCACGCACACCACACACAACGAGGGGCGTACTGCTTAAGAGACTGGAGGGCAGTGCTTGGCGATGGGGATGGTCTGCCCGAGCGTCAGTTCGAGGTCCGAGAGCCATGCGGCAGTGTCCAGGGCGCCGGTCTGGCAAAGCTGGGCCATGGCGGTCACCCCCAGCCGCTTCTCGTCGGCGCGCAGGACCAGCCGCCCGAGTGCCCGACGTGACCGCCACCGACCCCACGGTAGCGGCGAAGGCCTGCTTGCCCATCAGGGGTGCTGCACACCTGCTCGACCGTGCTGGCGAGGCAGCCCATCAGCCCGGCCGGGTTGGCGAAGGCCTGGTGCAGGCGGGCCTGGAGGGTCGGGCGGGTTGTCGTAGAGGAACGCGCGGGTATCGAGGCTCGCCCAATCGAAAGAGAGTGGCCACTCACCACTCACCCTCTGTCCACTGCAGTGTTTCCACAACAGCGGCCAGCTGGTGATCAACTATTGCTCGAGCGCACCCATGTAGTAGGCCAGGCAGAGCTCGGCTCCCGAGAGGGCCACGCTGTAGCACCGGCCATACTCGCTGCCGAAGGGGTCGCTCCTGGCGCTGGTCGGATCGACACCGAAAACAACCGCCTTGATCGCACCAGCGATGATGCTCTTCGACGTGGGCTTGCTGTTGCAGATCGCCACCAGGCTGAGATTCGTGGCGTTCTTGTTTGAAGAAGTTCCTTTTCGTGGTGGCGGAGTCTTCACAGGGGAACACGGCCAATCAGGGTCCTTAGGTCCCGTCGGCAAGTGGACTTGTGCGCACTTGTCGTGCCGGGATAAAACCAGGGAAGTCTGGGACGTGGTTTTTTCTTCCTGTGCCTCAGCCCGCTCACTTTTCTTCTCCCGCGCCTCGCACCAAGACCACACACAGCCCAGGTACGCACTGCCTTCATCTAGATCCCTGTACATCTCTCGGAGCTCTCCTCCGATGTGGCGATGATTAAAAAACTTTGCCTTACCCGAATTGATGCGTTCCTTCGGCTCATGTCTCTTCACTGGGAGTATTGCTGATGTTGGACGGGACAATAAGGAAGAGATAAATACTCACGCATCTCTAAGCCACCGCATTTTCCCTCTCTGTTCACCTCTTCCTCTCTCCCTTCACCATTTCGCTAACGTCTCTCTCAACTCTCAGGTTGATCGGATCCTTCTCCGGCGCATGTCAATTGGCTTTTGATAAAGGTAAAACATCCCTCCTCCATCGCTTATGGAAGCTGAGTTTGCTGCCTGATGATAATACAACAGACAAACCACTGAGAGATTCTCTGAATTAAAACTAAATCACTCCACTCTGATTCAAACACCGTTTCATTTCCTCCCAAAGCTTTATCTCGCCTCATGTCTCATTCACACACTCGGCACTCACTCACCTTTCTTTTCCCTTTCTTTACAGGTACGGTGACACTTCCCGAAGCACAAGATTCTAATGTTATCTTGCACATCTCTGTTGAATAAATCTTTCAATCTGACCAGACAGATGTCTTGATGATGACGTCAATCATTTTGGAGAAGTCGTTCCACCTTTCTGTCCGACGCAACAGGAACAGGGACGATCGGGCAATAAGCGATCCCCGTGGCATCACTCCTCTGTGGACTGGTGGCTTGTGTGGCTGCGACACACGACACACAACACACACGCAACACCCCACACAAACATGGAAGAGGAGAAGACCGAGGTGGCATCACCTGGAGAGGAGCCGCCAACTGTGATGGAAGAAGAACAACCACAAAGAGAAGAAGGGGGCAAAGGCAAAGATGAAGGTAAAGAAGAAGGGGGGGAGCCAGAAGGTCCCTGGCGCCACCGCGACGACCGTAGCATGCTGTTGAGTGAGTCCGAGAAGGAGCGAGCCTTCATGTTCGCCTCCCAGCGCCTCATCTTTCGGCCAGGGGGCGGCTCAAGTACCAC